ATAAAGCTCTTGCTCTGCAAGTGTAAAGATCTGAGCTTACCATCACTCGGGTAAAAAGCTAGGCATGGAGACACACTTGTCACCCCAGTGTTGGGGAAGCAGAGCTTGAAGGGTACCTGGGGCTCACCAGCCAGCCAAAGCTAGCTGAATTAGTCAGCTTCAGGTTAAATGAGAGACCTGTATGAAAAACTGAAGTGGAGCTGGGTGTGGTGGCGCACGCCTTTGATCCCAGCCCTTGGGAGGCAGAGGCAGGCAGATTTCTCTGAGTTCGAGGACAGCCTGATCTACAGAGCAAGTTCTGGGACAGCGAGGGCTACACAGAGAAACCCTGTCTCGAAACCTACCCCCCACAAAAGAAATTGAAATGGAGAAGGTGGTGGAGAAAGATACCTAACATACATGTACGTACATGTACTCATACCCAGAGAAATATGTGCACACACATGAACATGCACACACACAAACACATCTACCCAAAGGCAAATTAATTAATTAATTAATTAATTAATTAATAAACAAAGAATGTAAGCTAGGCATGGTGACTTATGTCTACAAATCCAGCATTTGGGAGGCTGAGGCAGGAGGATTGCCAATAGTTTCAAAACAGCTTGAGTTACATAGTGAGTTCCATATTAGCCTGTGATAGCTGTGAGAACTTTTCCCAAAAGACCCCAACCAGACAAAAAACCAACCAACCAACTAACCAAGCAAACAAACAGGACCTGATGGATGGGGTTCAGCTTAGTTGGTAGATGCTTGCCTAGCATGCTCCCAGCCTTGGATTAGATTCCTAATACCACATAAATCTAGCATGATGGCTCACGCCTGCAATCCCAGTACATGAGTGACGAGGCAGAAAGACCAGAAGTTAAGGTCGTCCTTGCATATTGAGTTTGAGGTCAGCCTTGGCTGCATGAGATCCTGTCTAAAACAAAACAAACCAACCAAACAATCCAACAAAACAAAGCCAAGCTTCAAATATTTATGGACTATGAAGGGCCTGGTTAGTGTCTCTGGACCACTCCTTCACAAGGGAGGATGGGGGGGATCTTGATTGACAATCTTTCTAAGACTACAAATGTAGAGGAATGAGAGATGATACCCAAGGAAAACCCTGAAGCAAGATAAGGAGTGCTTAGCAGCAAAATCCATCCATGTTGCTGCAAATGCCCTCACAGAGGTTCCTGGGAGTATCAGAGATGCTGCGCTCCCACAGTGAGTGTATAGAGCCTGAGGTCCCAGTTTCCAGTTTTCTCTGCCAGAAGCTTTAGATTTATATGGTCTTTGCCTTACGGGTTCAGAAAGTTTGAAAAAGGCAGCAGATGCCACATTAAGGGATCTGCACTTTGTTTGGTTCACAAGCATGGCACCCTCCCCCCAAGCTGCCTAGCTATGTGGCCATGGGCCACTTACCCAACATCTCCAGGCTTCAGCTTCTGTATATAAAACATGGAGCACATTTTGGGTTGTCCTGGGATTTAAATGAGATATTTTCAAAGTCCCTAGAATGGTGATAAATGCTCAGTAAGTCATAGCAGTTATTATATATATGATGAGGTTTAAAATCTCAACCTTGCCGACTGAGGGAAGATCGATAGGGATCACAAAGGCCATAGCACTTTGCACACAGGAAGAAAGAAAGCTGTGTCTCATAGATGCTTTCCTGGTTGCGATCACCACTGGTGATAAGGCTCGCCTACACTAGCACTACCATTTTTTATGGAAGTAAGAGATGTTAGATGTGCACATTTGTGATAAGATAAAGCCTGCTCCAGAAACATCAAGGATATGAGAAGGATGAGTCTTAAAACTGAGGATATGAAATATTGATAATTTACTGTTTCAAATAATTAAGAAACATTCTCCTACAGTCTATTACCAATTTCCCAAAACTTAGAACATGATATTGCTTACTTAATGCTAAAAAGGCACAGGGGATAATTTGATATTTCCTTGAAGCCTTAGAATTTCCTTGACGGCAAGGTCAGCAGTTTTGAAATACACTTTTGGATCTCTAGCTGAATGGTTCCCAACCCTGGCTACACATTAGCATCCACTTGGGAGCTTTTTAAAAATGCTGCTGCCTGGGTCCCATTTCAGGCCAATTAAATCTGAGTCTCCGGGGGAGGAGCCTGAGTGCTGGAATTTTTGAAGCTCCCCTGGGTAATTCGGATACAGAGTGTTTGAGAACCGTGTCTCTTAGCAGGGGCCTAATTTTCAGAGGGTGCCAAATGAGTGCAGAGGTGAGGCCAAGGATGTCCGCAGAGATTGGGCCACGGAGGGCATGGTAAGCCACAGAATGGAAGCATGACATCATCTTCCCTAAAGCTCTGAATGAAGTACTTACTCCAGTGGGAGTTTACATTTGAATGACTGTTCTGGTGATCTTCAGAGCTGAACTGAAGCTGGTAAAATTGGAGAAGCAGAACTTAGGGTGGAGGCCAAGTTGTATCAGTTGTCTTTGCCATGTAACAAAACAACCCTCAAACCTAGGTGCTTAAAGCAATGCTTTATTGTGCCTGGGGACTTTGTGTGTTGGCTGGGCAATTCTTTGTGAGGCTTTCCTATGCTCCTTCAACCAGCTCTGGCAGGTTGGCTGGGATCTGGAGTAGTGTGTTCTCTGCTTCTCTCTGAATGGTCTATCACTTTTCAGGCTCATCTCGGGGCAGTGTTCCATGAAGGTAGGTAACAACCTGCAAGGTCTCCTCAGGCCCACATGTTAGCAGTCATAAAATAGCCACTCAGCCAGTCAGTCAGGTCATGCATTCAACAGGTGGCTATTACATAGTCCTGCCTAGCAGACACTCCTCTAGGCACTGGGGAGAAAGTTGTGATGGACATCGATAGAGCAAGACTTTTGTGGGGCTGACAGATCTAGGGGTTTGTGGAAGCATGCAATAAAAAGCAAATAAATGCATCACATAAAATACAATTCATAAGTCCTTATGAAGGAACAGGAAGCACATAAGGGACCAAAGAGGTTTGTTTCAGGTGTGGCATTTATACTCAAAGGAGGGCTCTGAATAAATAAAAGCAGAGCAGAAGTCTGAATGCAGTGAGGGAGGGAGTCAAGTATGTTTGGAGGTAGAAAGGAAAATGTTCTGGGCAGAGAGAAGAAGTTCAAAGGCCCTATGGCAGAAGTATGAGGCATCTTCTGTTTGAGAAATAGCAAGGAGTCATTGTGTAGTCAGGGTACAGGGGAGAGAGAAAGTGAAAGATGATGAGGTGGGAGAGGCAGGAGTCCGAGTGTGTGGACTTTGCAAACCATAACAATGAGTCTGAATTGTATTTAAGTGTCTAGAGAGCCATTGGCAGGTGTGTGCAAGTCTGACCTTGATCTTGTGTTTCTAAAGTTCATTCTAGATGCTGGGATGATACAGATTGAAAGCAGGGGACCAACTAGGGGGTTGTTGCTTGGATAACATTTGTAGTAGGGGAAGTGGTGAACAAAGGTCAGGGTCTGGGTGTACTTGAGGGCAGAGGGAACAAAACTTCCTGAATTGCTGTGTGTAGTATGGAGAGGTGAGATTAGGCAAGATGAAGGTGTAGCACCTGGATGAAATGTGGAGCTCTTGACTCAGGTTCAGGTGGTGGCAGAGAGGGTAGGTAAGTAAGTACCCAAGTTTGGCTTTGGACATAGTAAATGTGAGATACCTGTTAGTGCTCCAAAGCAGGAAGCAGCAGGTCATGGAGCAGGAGCTATGTTGAGTGTGTGGACTGAAATTTGAGTGTTGGGGAAGAGAGCTGACTCAGCAGTAAAGAGACAATACTGCTCTAGTAGAGGACTGGAATTCGATTCCCAGCATCCACACTGGGCAGTTCACATTCAGTTTTAATTCCAGCTCCAGGATGATTAGATGATCTTGGCCTCTGTGGGCACTGCGCTCACATTTACACACACACACACACACACACACACACACACACACACACACACACACACAATTTAAAATGATAAAATAAAATTTAAGAAAGAAAGCTGAGTGGCTTAGTGGTTAAAGCACTTGTTACTTTAGTAGAAGACTGGGGCTCTGTTCCTAGCACCCACATGGCAGTTCACAGTCATCTCTTAGCTCCAGTTTCAAAGGCTCTAACGTCCTCTACTGGCCTCTGCAGGCATTGCATGCACAGGGTGTACAGACAAACTTGGAGGCAAAGTGCCCACCATATAAAATAATTTGTTTTTTTAAGACAGGGTTTTTTTTTTTTTTTTTTTTTTTTTTTTTTTTTTTTTTTTTGTGTAGCCCTGCCTGTCCTGGAACTCATTTTGTAGACTAGGCTGGCCTCGAACTCAGAGATCTATTGGCCTCTGCCTCCCAAGTGCTGAGATTAAAGGTGTGTGCCACCACTACCTGGCCAAAACAAATTTTTTAATAAAAAGGAAATTTGAGTGTAATCAACAATTATATCAAGTCATAGACAAAACCGACGACTCAGAAAGGACTTTGATAGTGGGGGAAATCCCCTAAGCCTGCTCCTTGGGTTATTTCAATATGCAGAGGTGGCGATGTGAGATCTGGCCCAGGCTAAGGAGTGGCCTGCAAGGTGGAAATCTTGAGGGGGCAGGGGTTGCATTGAGTCCTAAAAGTAAGAGTTTCCAAAAGAGAACAGGTGAGACTGATGGCATTGAATACTGCTGAGGAGCCAGGTAAACTGAGGCAGAGACAGAACTGGCCATTTCAAAATGGCAATGTGGATGGAATTCATATGATTAAATGGAGCAAAATAGATTGAGAGAATAAGGTAATTGCAGAGAAATGAGTCTGTGTAAGTATTTGTGCTTAGAAAGCACAGAATGGCTGGGTGGTGGTGGCGGCGGCGGCGGCGGCGGCGCACGCCTTTAATCCCAGCAATTGGGAGGCAGAGCCAGGTGGATCTCTGTGAGTTTGAGGCCAGTCCTGTCTACAGAGTGAGATCCAGGACAGGCACCAAAACTACACACAGAAACCTTTTCTCAAAAAACCAAAACCAAACAAACAAAAGAAAGAAAGAAAGGAAGGAAGAAAGAACGAATGAACGAAAGAAAGAAAAAAAGCAAGCAAGCAAGCAAGCAAGCACAGAACGATTTGGGTTGGGGATGTAGCTCAGTTAGTTGGTTGGGCACTTGCTTAACATGCATGATAAACCCTGGGTTTAATCCAATATTACATAAACTGGGCATGGCAGCATATTCCTGTAATCCCAGCACTCAAGAGATGGGAAGGAGAAGAGAGTATTTGTACACTGGCAGAAATAATTTACTAGAAAGAGAAAATTATGGATTACAGATACAGCTTAGTGGTAGAGTACTTGCCTAGGTTTAATCTTCTTAATAAATAAATAATAAAAGAAAAAAGGATAGATAAAATTACCAATGATACAGGATGAGGACGGATAACTGCAGGAATTATGGGCTGGACTCAGGGGACAGGGTAGCAGCCTTAGGTAGCAGTGGCAACAGAGCTCCCATTGTCTGTAAATGGAGGCCAAGCTCAGGATGATGCAGTCACTTCTAGGATTAAAGCATGGAGACCCATCTCTTATCAGCATGCTCTCCTAGCACCCGCTCTGTGCCAGGAGAGGGGTTCGCAGATGACTCACCTAGTGTCCCTGACTGTTTGAGAGGCAGACCTGTAAACTGACAATTTCAGTACAGTGTGCCAAGCACAAATGTGTGGCCTACAGAGTGTTTTGAGGAGAGAGAGGACATGAGCAAGAGCCTGAAGTCAGAGAAGGCTGCACAGGCGTGACATTGGCACGAGGCTCAGGCAGGATCAGTTCACACCCTGCTTGCTGGAGGACAAGGTTATCCGGGGTGGAAGGAGAGCATGTGAGCACCTCAGAGACAAGATTTGCTGGCTGCTCTGCTCTCGGCTCCACCTGTGTCTTTTCTTCTTGGTCCCTTCTCTCAGGCTTCCTTACTTCAAGAGGATTTTTTCCTCTTGGAAAGTTTAATAAACTTCCGTTCAGCATGTACTGAGTCATGACAAAGGTGTGTTTCACACTTAAACAAATGTCTCAGATGTTATTTTTTGCACTTGAAGAACGAGCTATTTTTAAAAAAACTCAAACTCGTTGGAACTCAGCAAGGGCAATTTCTGTGACCTGTTTTGAAGAAGTGATCTTTGCAAAGGAGAACAGTGTCCAGGGGTTGGCAGGACCAGAGGACCTGGCAATGTTTTCCCTTAAATGTTTCAGAGAGTCACTGAGCAGCTTCACCTTTCTGAGTTGCTTGTTTGATCTTGCCTATCTGGTCTTCTGGAAAATTCCCAGGGAGTGCACAACAATTAGCCAATATCAGAATGAGAGGAGCCGAGGGCACGCTTTCTCAGGGGTAGACCAAGACAATGCCAGAGGAGACGGAGAGAAAGGGAGGGGCTTGAGAGATGTACATAGTGCTCAGTGGTTCAGCACTTGTCTACCATACCCTGTTTGGGAGAAAAAAATGTATTAAGTCATGGAGAAAAAGCATGTCTCTAGCTCTCTGAACAGATGAAGATAGGTTTCTTCTGTATCCCAGAATCTAATAAATATTTATATGTATAATTTAGCTATTATTTGGCTTAAAAGGGCTTATTGGGAAATATTATCATTTTACTATTTTTTTTTCTTTTTTGGGTTTTTCAAGATAGGGCTTCCCTGTGTTGTTTTGGTGCCTGTCCTGGATCTCGCTCTATAGACCAGACTGGCCTTGAACTCACAGAGATCCACCTGGCTCTGCCTCTTGAGTGCTGGGATTAAAGCTGTGTGCCACCACTGCCCAACCATTTTTACTATTTTCTACAGAGAAAATATTTTCCAGTTTCAAATAACCCTGGACTTTTGAATTATAACCTGTTTTCATGTAAAAAAAAGTCTGTATGATAAAAGAGAGAGAGAGAGAAAGAGAGAGACAGCATATCTCAATTGTTACGCCTGTCTGTGGGGCTTGTCTCCTTCCTGCCTGGGCATCATTACAATCCCCAATTTGAGTTCCATCTTCTACCCTTTTGAATCTAGGCCAGCTGGTGACTACTTAGACCACCTGAGCATAAAAGAGATGCTGGGTCAGTCCTAGGTTCATTTTTTTTTTTTTATGACTTTCCATATTTATTGCTGTGAGAAGCCCCAGATATCAGGAAGGGTCAGGCAAAAGTCATGCAATTTCAGATATATTTACTGAAAACAGCACATTCTCTCTCTCTCTCTCTCTCTCTCTCTCTCTCTCTCTCTCTCTCTCTCTCTCACACACACACACACACACACACACACACATTTATTTTGTTTTTATTTCTATGTGTGAGTGTGGATATGAATGCACAGAGGCCAAAAGAAAGCATTAGGTTCCCTGGAACTTGAGTTGCGGTTGTGAGCTGTCATGTGGGTTCTAGGACCTGAACCTAGGTCCTTTGCATGCACACCAAGTGCCCTTAACCACTGAGTCATTTTCCAGCCCCTCAAAATGTAATTTTTAGCCATGCAGTGGTGTCACATGCCTTTAATCCCAGCACTCTGGAGGCAAAGGCAGGCAGATCTCTGTTGAGTTTGAGACAAGTCTGGTCCATAGAGCTGGACAGCCAGGACTACACAAAGAAACCTTGTTTCAAAACAAAACAAAACAACAACAGCAACAAAACAAATTAACTTTCTTTTCTTTTAAAAGGAAAACTTTAAGGGACTTGCAAAATGGTTCAGTAGGTAAAGGTGTTCCTTGTCAAGCCTGATGACCTGAGTTTGAGTTCAGGATCCACATGGTTGAAAGACAGAACTGACTCACAGAAAAACTGTCCTCTGACCTTCATACTGCATGATCAGACACACAATAAACCAACAAAGCAAAGCAAACCTGCTGTGGGATGGCCTGTATGTCAAATGCTCTGATTGGTCAATAAATAAAACACTGATTGGCCAGTGGCCAGGCAGGAAGTATAGGCAGGACTAACAGAGAGGAGAACTGAGAGAACAGGAAGGCAGAAGGAGACACTGCCAGCTACCGCCATGACAAGCAGCATGTGAAGATGCTGGTAAGCCACGAGCCACGTGGCAAGGTATAGATTTATAGAAATGGATTAATTTAAGATATAAGAGCAGTTAGCAAGAAGCCTGCCATGGCCATACAGTTTGTAAGCAATATAAGTCTCTGTGTTTACTTAGTTGGGTCTAAGCAGCTGTGGGACTGGCTGGTAACAGAGATTGGTCCTGACTGTGGGCAAGGCAGGACAACTCTAGCTACACAAACCTCTCCAGTTTTTGTTAAATTTCCAAGACAGAACTTTCCTATTTAGTGGCACTCAGTGTAGAAGCCCAGTCTTGCGGCCATTATTTGTATAAAGAGGCTGCTGTGTTTCTCAGAGAATCTAAGAACATCTGTATACAGTCAGTGATGGGATGAGGTACAGGAAAACTCTCTGTAAACTACAGGGCATTCAATAAAAGACCATTGTTATTATTAGGCTTCTTCTCCTATAAATACTTAAGCTCCCTACCCCTACAAGCTGTTTTTTGCAGTGTGTGGATGAAATCCAGCTCTTGTTGCTCGCTAGGTAAGGACTCTAGCGCTGAGCCATTCACCTCAAACCCTTAAATGCAATAATAAACTTTTATGTAACAAGTTGGGGCCTTAGAAACAACAAGCTCAGTGAACTGTTTTGTTTGTTTGTTACTGATTTAAAAACAATGAACTTCTGGCTTCCTCTATATTCAAAGGTTTTTTTTTTTTTAGTTTGTGGAGACAGGGTTTCTCTGTGTAGCTTTCGGAGCCTGTCCTGGAACTCTCTTTGTAGACCAGGCTGGTCTCGAACTCACAGAGATCCGCCTGGCTCTGCCTCCTGAGTGCTGGGATTAAAAGTGTGCACCACCACAGTCTGGTCAAAGTCTTCTGTTATGTGTTATATTCTTCATCATAACCTCATTGTCCAGTCTTTGCCAGATGACAGCTCCCTTAAACTGATTCCTTATGCCTTTGAGAATGGCCTTGTTCAGCCCTTGAGTGCATCCTTGATTTCTAACTTGGCTGTACATCCCAGGTTCAGGCTTGGTTTATGTTATTTCCTGCTTATGTTGGTGGATAAACTGTTGCTCCAAAAGGGGCATGGTCCAGTTCTGTGTAATGGCATATAGAGCCTTCTTTGTAGACATGTTACAAATCTCACATAATGTTATGTTCATATTTGGGCCTGTGTTTGGCTTAGTGAATATTTAAAATTTATAAGACTTAATGATTTAAATATTTGCATGAATCATTTATGTGATTTCAAAGTCAAAGCTACCTTATATGTTTTGTTGAAAGAAACCTCATTTCCAATTCTTTTTCTTCCACACTATGAGTTTCTTCCAACAGAAAGAAAAACTTCCCTTAAAACAAACAAACAAAGCTGGGCGGTGGTGGCGCACGCCTTTAATCCCAGCACTCAGGAGGCAGAGCCAGGCGGATCTCTGTGAGTTTGAAGTCAGCCTGGTCTACAGAGTGAGATCCAGGACAGGCACCAAAACTATACAGAGAAACGCAGTCTTGAAAATACCTAAAACAAACAAACATACTAATGCTTAATAGGCTGATTTTAATTAAAACACACAAAAAAAAAACCAAGTCTCTTGGCAATACTCTTACAGTTAAAACCAGCAGGGGTTAGTTACACATCCAGCTGGCTTACAATGAGAGCAAATATTCTCTATGTGATTCCATACTGCATCCCATTCTACCCCACAACCACTTCTTTTGTAGAAGTCCTTATTGAAGGGAGGACAGTGTTGCAGAGTGGTCATGGGACTGAGGTAAAATGCAAGGAGACACCCAGGAAATGGGCCCAGAAATCCATCATTCCTTAGGAACCCTTTTAAAGTTTGACTATTTGCATTTTAGTCCAGAAGATTCCACTGTGCTGTTCTACAAGGGTTAGCAGCTTTGCTGGCTCTTACCTATTAAGTGCAAAGTGTAATAACCAATGATATCTAGACAATACTGGAAGGGAGATGCTGGATATAGTGCACATGCCTCTAGTCCCACCACGCAGGAGGCAGAGAAAAGTGGATCTCTGTGAGTTTGTTGCCAGTCTGGTCTACATAGGGAGTCCAGGCTAGCCAGGGCTACACAGTGAGACTTTTTAAAAAAGAAAAAGAAAAGAAAAGAAAAAAATGAAGGGAAGGAGGGACAGAATCATAGCCAGATAAGACTCACTTTTTAAAAAAAATTATTTTATTATTATTATTATTTTTTTTTTTTGAGTCAGGGTTTCTCTGTGTAGCTTTTGGATATTGTCCTGGAACTCACTTTGTAGATCTGGCTGGCCTTGAACTCATAGAGATTCATCTGCCTCTGCCTCCCCAGTGCTGGGGCCACCATTGCCCAGCCAAGACTCACTATTTAACATTAGACTGGCACTCTAGAATCTAGAGTCTAGATAATCACTTGGGTCCAAAATGAAGACTGAAAATTGAATTCTAGAAATACTTGACAGGGGATCTGGGGATTTATCTTAGGCTCATCTGAACTCAGTATGTAGCCCAGGCTACCTTTGAATTTGTGGCAATCCTCCTGCCTCAACTTCCCAAGGGCTTGGATTACAGGTGTGCACCACCATGCGCGGCTCTAATAAATGTATCCAGATGTTAGAACAAATTCTGGGAGAACTAGAGACTTCCTCATCCCAAGTCCCTGGTTTATTCTTGTAGATTCTTCTCTCTTGACATCCGTTTGAGATTTGTCATCCAAAAAAGGGCATGCAGACAGGTGTGGTGGTGCATGCCTTTAATTCCAGCACTTGGAAGGCAGAGGCAGGCATATTTCTAAGCTTGAGGCTAGCCTGGTCTACAGAGGGAGTTCCAGGATAGCCAGGGTTACACAGAAAGATTCTGTCTTGAAAAAAAAAAAGTAATGGGAATTTTTGTAACCCATTCATCCAACAGATAATATATGAATAATGCAAGACACTTCTCTAAGGGAATGTGAAGAGAAGAGAGAACAATAAATTCTGTTCACACAGGGCCTACTGTCTATGGCTTATTCAAGATCAGTGGCTAACGTAACTTCTACAAGTTCTACAAACTGACTTGGGTTTAGATTTAGGAGAAAGATTCAGCAGTTAGGAACAATTGACAGAAGCATAGCAGACATCCAAATAGGTCACAGGTAGCCACTGAATGATAGCCTGTAGTTCTGGATTCGTGGGGGTAGCTTCTAGATATTGTGCTGAATCTGGGTAGCAACATTTATTGGGATAGGAGGAAACCAAAGATGCTTGATGTCGTACAGTGTGTGCATAACACTGCATGACTTTTGAATACTTATGTAGGGGAAAGTTTACTATGTAATTATCTAGGAGTGACAGCTCATTCCAGTTTTCAAATGAATCAAGTCCATTCCAGCATGATTTACTATTCCAGGGAGGCAAATGCTATGCAAAGTGAATGAAGATTAGACCCTGTTTCCCCCCCTCCCCCCCGGACTGTACCAAGGGTTATTTACCATTTTGGAGCATCTTGTCAGCAACAGCAATCCTACCTTGGAATTGGAGGCTCCATTTGATTGGTCTGTCCTTGTTGCATTTGGGCCAGTGCTTCTCAAGCTGTAGCATGCACATGAATGGCCTGGAGATCTTGTTTCATTAAAAAACAAACAAACAAACAATAGAAGGGACTGTTTAATAATGGAAAATTTCCAGTAGAGAGTGACTGGCCACATTAAAGGAGGACAAGCTATGGAGTGATGTTCCTTAGGGAGTAGGAAAGGGGGGCAACCAGACACCAGAGAGAGACCGGGCTGTTGTTCAGTATCTGATTTTGTAAAAGAAGAGAAGGAAGACAGGGTGGTGGGGGAAGAAGAAGAGAGATGGCCAGACCAACTTGGGATGCCAGGACACGGGCTTGGAAGTGAGGTATGACTGTTACTGTTATTGCTTTGTTGTTATTGAGCTCTTGATCAGTGCTAACCTGCTTCTGGAGAGCTTTAACTGTGTCTAATGTTTCTCTGTTTTAAATTTTATCTCTCTTTTTTTTTTTTTTTTTTTTTCTTAGAATGTAGTTATGAATTGAAGAACATTCTCCAGGAAAATTCTTAGAACCTGAATTCCGAGGCTTTTTTTTTTTTTGACAGGGTCTCATGTAGCCCAGGCTGGCCTGGAACTTGCTATATAACCAAGGATGACTTTGAACTTTTGATCTTTCTGCCTCCACCCCCCAAGTTCTGGGATTATAGACATAGGCTACATTGTTTGACTTTATGCAGTGCTGGAGATTGAACCCAGGGCTTTCTGTATGTGATTCGAGCACTCTACCCACTGAGGTATCCCCCAGCCCCACATTATATTTACTTTTAAATACATTAAATTTAAATGGCCACATCTATTGTAGGGACAGCACTGCTCTGGATATTTCTTCCCATGGCCACAGTGTCATCTTTCAGTGTACCAGAGTCCATCCACTCCTCCTTTCAAAACTACATCTATCTATCTCTATCTATCTATCTATCTATCTATCTATCTATCTATCTATCTATCTGTCTGTCTGTCTGTCTGTCTGTCTGTCTGTCTGTCTGTCTATCTATCTATCTATCTATCTATCTATCTATCTATCTATCTATCTGTCTATCTGTCTACCTATTTATTTGTGTCAGATCAATGAGGACTGGGACAGCATAACTGTTTTCTTTCTTTTTTAAATCTCTAGGGACTTCCACATATAAGATCTCTGTTAATGTTTGTTCTAAGAATGGCTGAAACAGGCAATGCTGGCCTTTGAAGTTAGATGTGATTTCTAAATAGGCTAAGCTTTAAGATGTTACCATGTCAACTATCTCCCCACTGTTTATAATAATGGAAATACTGGGAAGGATGTAATACCCATTATAGGGAGTGTAGTTTAATTAAATGATGCATAAAATACATTATAGCCAGTTGGTGGTGGTGCATACCTTTGATCCCAGTACTTGGGAAGCAGAGGCAGGTGGATGTCTGAGTTTGATGCTAGTCTGGTCTACAGAGAGAGTTCCAGGATAGCCAGGGCTATGCAGAGAAATTCTGTCTTGAAAAACCAAAACCAAAACCAAACAAACAAACAAAATAAAAACAAAAAACAAAAAAAGAAAGAAAGGAAAAAAAAAACGTACAGTATTACGCAGAAAAATACAAGAAGAGCATACAAACAAAAGGATGTATTCAGCTAGATGTGGCAGTACCTGCCCCTCATCCCAGCACTTGGAGGCAGCGGCAGGTGGTTTTCTGTGAGTTCAGGCCAGCTAGAATTACATAGTGAGACTCTGTATTAAAAACAATAAAAAGTCAGGTTGTGGTGGCACATGCCTTTAATCCCAGCACTCCAGAGGCAGAGGCAGGCAGATCTCTGAGTTTGAGGCCAGCCTATTCTACAGAGTGAGATCCAGGACAGGTGCCAAAACTACGCAGAGATTTGAAAAAGCAAGCAAGCAAACAACAACAACAAAACAAACAATAAAAAAGCTGGGCAGTGGTGGTGCACGCCTTTGATCCCAGCACTCAGGAGGCAGAGACAGGCAGATCTCTGTGAGTTCGTGAGTTCAAGGCCAGCCTGGTCTGCAGAGCCAGTCCCAGGATAGGCTCCAATGCTACACAGAGAAACCCTGTCTTGAAACAAACAAACAAACAAACAAACCAAACCCCCCAAACCCCAAAAAATAATAAAAACGATTTATTTACTTTGTACTAAATGAAAAATGTCAATTTAGACAGTATACAATAATCTTACTTTGTAAAAGATATATATTAAGCCAGATATGCATTTGGGAGTCTGAGGCATGAGGATTACCCATGAGTTTGAGGCCAGCCTGTGCTACAGAGTGAAAACCTAACTCAAGCAACAACAATATATATTTATATGCACAGAAAAAGATTGGACCAATTTAGTGAATGGTTATATTAACAGTGACCATTACCACTGGATGGGATAAGCAGGTAATGCTTTTGTTCTTTTTTCATAAATGGTGGATTTCTTTCTTTCACTTTCTGAGAGAGTGTCTTATTAGCCCAGACTAGTTTTGAACTCTCTATATAACTGAGGATGATCTTGAACTTCTCAATCCTCTGCTCTGCCTTCCCAGTCCTGGGTTTACAGGCATGTACTGTCACTGCTGGTTTATGTAGCACTGACCTGGAGCTGGGGGCTTCATGTATTCTAGGCAAGCACTGTACCAACTGAGCTACATCTCTAGCCCTGATTTCATTATGCTTACCTAGTACGAATGAGGGTTGGGGATTTAGCTCAGTGGTAGAGCGCTTGCCTAGCAAGCCCAAGGCCCTGGGTTCAGTCCTCAGGTGTGAAAAAAAAAAAAAAAAAAGATGAGCACCTAGTATGAATGAGGCTGAGTTCAATTCCTGGTACCACAGGGAAAAAATTGTATCACACATAAGTGTATATATGAGACAGAAAATAGATTAGTGACTGGGAATAGGGAAGGAGACAGAAGGAATTTATGAGAATCCATAAAAATATCCCAAGTATTCGGAAACTGACTTATGTTAAGCCAGTAGTTGTGGCTCATACCGGTAACCTCAGCATTTGGGAGCCTGAGACAGAAGGATCTTCAGAACAAGGCCAGCCTGGGTTATATAATGAGACTTTGTCTCAAACAATGAAATCAAACCAAAATAAAAAAACTACCCCCCTAGCCACCCTCAAAGTAATAATAAAGAATTATGGTTGAGATGCATGTTTTTATGATGTGCAGATATCCTTTAAACTGTTAAGGAATTACACATGTGTTTGTATTCTTCAAAAGTTTAAAGCAGGGCCTAAAGAGATGCTCAGTGGTTAAGAACAGTGCTGCTCTTGCAGAGGATTGAGTTTGGTTCCCAGCAACCACATTGGGTGGCTCACAACTGCTTATAATTCTAACTCCAAGGGATCTGACATGTCTGGTCTTTATGGGAACCTCCACTCATGTGCACATACCCACACGTAGTCATATATACATACATACATGTAATTTTAAAATGTATACTTAAAAATTCAAGCAATGTGGAAGTAAAGTCCTCCATTTTCACATCCAATTCTATTTTCTAGGCAAACCCAGAAGTGATTGATGTTTAATAACTTTCTGATGTTTTTTCTTTTTTCTTTTATTTGAGACAGGGTTTCTCTGTGCAGCTTTGCGCCTTTCCTGGAACTCACTTTGGAGACCAGGCTGGCCTCGAACTCACAGAGATCCGCCTGTCTCTGCCTCCCGAGTGCTGGGATCAAAGGCGTGCGCCACCACTGCCCTGCTTGCTTGCTTTATTTTTTACATTTTTATTTTTTATTTTTGTGCTGTCATGTACTAGTGTAGGCACACGTGGCCAGCATTTCTGTGGAAGTAGGTTAGAGGATAACTTGTGGGCTTCTTTTCTTATACCATGTAGCTTCTGGGATTTAACTCAGGTTTGTCAGGCTGGGCAGCAAACACTTTTACCTGCTGAGCCATGTAGCCTAGTCTCATTTGCTCATTTTTGTTATGAATGTTTGGAGTTGTAAGCCCAATAAAAATCAAAATAAGAGATACTACTGAATCCTTAATGACATATACTCTTCCTATTTAAAAAAAAGTAATACAATTTCTAAGTGTTGGATTTCTAAGGGCCGAATACCTTAAATGTAGTCTCATTGACTCTTTGTAACAGTGTTCCGAGGTATGCAGAATTATGTGTGATTTGACAGAGGAGAGCACAAAGACCTAGATTTGCCAAGGTCACACAGCTAGTGTGCAGTGAACCTGGATCTTTACACTGCAGCATTTCTTCTCCCTTGGCAGACTTCCTTTTATACTGCAAAACCCAGCTTTAATGAGCTCATCCTCTGTGCATGTGTTCTTCCCCAACTCACTCAGAGGAATGAACTTTCCTCAAGGTGCTTACGATCCAGGGAAGACTATAGTTCAGTGACATAACAATGCATTGTTGAACGGGGTGATGTGCAAGCTGGGCAGCCAAGGAGCTCCAGAGGGAGTATGTTTTGAGCTGACTGAACAACCTGCCTTCCAGAAGGCCAATCAGACATAGTGGTCTGTGGCCTCGCACTGACTTAAGGAAGCTCAGAGGTTGTTACAGACCCGCGCATACTCTGGAAAAGACAGTTTTGTAGTTACCTAAGGATCAAGCTGGCCTGAAGGAGGGGCAAAGGGAAGTAAGTGTGTATGCTCTGAAGTTGAAGGCCATACTGCTAAAGCTTTTCAACTAAGTATTGACACATTGTTCTGTGAATGAAGCGCAGCGGTTATATTTTTGGACGGTGTTGTGGATGCAACCCTGGATCCTGTCCGTGCCAGGCAAACATGTCCTATCACTGAGTATCATTACCAGTCCAGAGCTGTTAATATTTGTGTAACAAGATGAGAAGAGTACCATCAGGGGGACTGGCGTGGGAGGTTAGTCTCCTGCTGCCTTCTTGCATTAAGTGGTCAGGTTCTTTGTCAGGAATTTGCTTTAGGCTAAAGACCTTGGCTCTTTCTCCAGGGCATTCTAGCTCCCTGCACCGTACAGAGCACGCCGCACATACACAGTAGAGCTGATCTGGCTGGCAGAATGCTAGCCACCAAGAAGATGCCAGCCAATAGTTGTATCCAGTACCACTGCTGGAACAAAGTGGGTATGTTTTCAGCTAGTCTGTCATAACTCTAAGGAGGGAAAACATTTCCCAGGCCGTTAAGGATAGAGGAGAGGCGATTTTGATTTCTGTTCCGTCCTTGCTATGTGCCAGGAAAATTCGTATCTATTGTTTTATGTCATCTGCTCAACGGCTCTTAAATCGGAATTATTGTTTTAGTTTCTGGGAAGTGGAAACTGAGGCTCAGAGCGGTTCTGTAACTTAGCCAAGGTCACACAACCGCCAAGTGGGAGAGGAGCCTAGGACGGATTCGAGTCTTATACCCAGCCAGGGTACAGCCTGCCCCTCCTCCACCCGGGAAGGCATTGCGGCGCTTACTCCGTTTGCGTAGAGGCTGAGGCTGGGGAAGCGTCCCGCACCCGGGCGTGGAGCCTGGGAAGACCGGCTCGTTATTGCGGCCGGGAGCTGCTCTCAGATTCCGCAGTTACGAAGTTTCCGCGCCTTTCCCTCTTTCCAGCAGCTGGCCTCCGCTCAGCAGCGCTTACGTTGCGGGCGCAGCGGGGCTCAGGTGCGGCCGCCGCCCGAACCAGGCGCCGCGAGGTGGGCGGGACGCAGTTTACGTAAGCGGTCTCGCAGGTGCAGGCGGCGGCCGCGGGTCTGAGCGCCCTGCGCGCTCCC